AATCGTTTAAATGCTTTGCAAATACAAATGTACTATACTGTATATAAATCACTGAAAGGCAGAGGTAAGAAAGAAGTTGTGTTGAGTTGAGTATTGTTGAGCATTGTAATTCACTTTCAACCTGAGTCGACACTCACCTGGATGAATAAAGGAACACGCCACAATGCTGCATGTTGCAACGATGTAACGTGACCTTGAGTGCCTGCATACACAAACGACAAAAGCGCCGAACAAACTTTAAACCAATGTTAACCGCTTGACAGAATGAGTGACGCTACGATCTGCCTTTCTCTCTCGTGCATTCTGCTCCTTAGCTCTCAGCCCCTCTCCCATCTGTACCGTAGAAAAGGCTGCCATGCAGATCGTTTTATGAACAATGCCAGATACACGCACCCCCGTTCCTTGACTCGCTCAGGACGTGACCGGAAGAGAAAAGCAAAAGCACGCAGCCAGCCATCCAGCCAGCCGGCAAAACTTCAAAAGAAAAATATATTACGAAGAGTGGAAAAATTTACCTGTAAAAACAAAGTTTTTCACTATAAATCCTTTATATGCGTGTTCAATGGGCCACAACCCAGCCCACATTGGTCTTTGAAACGGGCGGCTAGAGTCCTCTCGTTCTCTGGCTTGAGATGGCTGCCACCTATTGGTCAGATGATTGCCTGCCACCATTAAGCAATTGGTAATTAAATATAAAAACATTTTACCTAAAAAGTGTAAAATTTAGGAATTTTTTTTTTCACGAACAGAAATTGTCACGCACAACGAGTCTGTGTGCAAAATTTCAGCTCGATTGGATCACGGGAAGTGGGTTAAAAAACGACCGAAAGATTTGCATGGTCGTAAGCGCGCAAGCAAGTGAACTTAATATAAAGGATTTAAAAAGGGTGGTCTTCCCACCGCGTCCCCGGGACTATGGGCTGTGATGTTGTAAGAAACACTCATTTTGGGAAGCGGCAACTTTAATTTGAGACAACCCACGGGAAGAGAGTTCGAAAACAGACGCAGCTTAAGGCCACAATTCGATCGGTTAAAGAAAAAATTGGGCTCAGGCAGGACATGTTGCGAGGAAGGCACGAGGGCCGATGGTGGTAAGGAATGATGACGGACGGCAAGAAGCTGGAATGAATGCGCCCGAGAGGACGTACACACGGGGAGATGGAGCGATACAAATCGGCTTGTGTGCAGGTGCTGGGTGGGCGGAGTGTTTGGGAAGCCTTCATCTAGCAGTGGACTCACCATGGCTGATGATGATGAATAACCCCTAGCTATCACTTGAGTGGGTTTCCACCGAGTAGCAGGATACATTACTCCACTTGGTACAAATTAAACTTATTTATCCTTTATCTCTGTTCTGAATATATATAATTAGAATAAAACAAAGGACGTTGATATGTCGTCGTGAATCTAGTGAGGTGAAATGTTGTATACAGTATTTCCTATTCCTCCTGTATATTCATTGTCCAAAATATTATTATTACTGCTGCTATCGTTGCAACAAAAATATTTCGAACATTTTAAACCCATTGCATATTTCTCACAATTGCTCGATTTTTTAAATATATTGTGTGGGGGAGGGGGGGATGGCAAGGCTTAAAATTAAATTATATAAACGGGCTCTAATGTCGAGCAATTTAAATACATTAAAGTTCAATTCTGACGAGAACCCATTCAATAGGGAACATATTTGAGCTCGTCCCATACGGACGGAGTATTTAGTTGCAATGTTAAAGTCTGTGTCACAAAGTAAATGCGTATACAAAATAAAGAATAATAAATTGCGAATTACATGACCAAACCAACTCCCATGATCGACACTGCATCGGGAAGGCCTTCATGCAGCAGTATATTGGTAAAGGGACATAAATAGGAGAGAGTAACTGTTGACTTGCATCCCACTGGGATATTTGTACAGGGTTGGTGTATGGTGATTTTTCTGCAACATTTTGCTGTCTTTTCTTGGATTTTCTGTTTGCACATAGTCACTTTAAGATGTTTTCTTGTTCATGTTTTTTGTTTGTTGCGGTTGCACCCGATTCAAGAGCCGAATGGCTCACAGGGCTATACCTAATAAATCAACTTTGAACTTTGAAATTACGTTATTCCAGTGGCATCCTAATAACAGAAGGGAAGAACGTTCCAGACGGCCGCAGAAGCGCATCTGAAAGCGCCGCGCGATGCGGTGGCCGCCGTCTTTGTTCGATGGCGAGCAGAACGAAAGTCGCCGCTCCTCGAACGAGACCGGCGAGGTATCGTGGCACTTGCAAAATAGTAAATCAGTGCACGGTAGGGTACGTCTGTGCATGGGTGTACGGTCATGAAGGTCGACTATACTTCACCGCGCGTGTCTTCATCAAAACTTTGACCTGCAAGAATGCATTTTCAGGACTGAGATGAAAATACAACCATATTATAATTTATGTTAATCAACGCATTATGACACTTTGGCATTTCAATTCAGAGGTCGCTGGTTCGATTCAAAGCAAGTTTTTCAAATCACGTTCCGCTGTCCACCCAGTTTTGTTTTTAATCGGCACGCCACGGGCTGTGTGTGGTGGGACGTAGTGTGAGTAACACCACATCTTCCCTGGTTCGGCAAAAGGTGTTTTAAAGAGGGGTTACCTGTCGCACTCACTTGTGACGTGAGGGAGCAATTGCAGAGCTGCACCTTGACCAATTATTTCGTTTGCAGTAGGAGCTGGTCAGAGCGTCACAACAACAATACAAACACACGCGATAGGAGTGCAAAGTATAGGAAAGGTAAACAAATGACTTTCAATATATAGACAGGTAAATGTTGACAAATACTAGTGCAGCATCACGTCCAAGCTGTTCGGTGCACGAACGCTGCAAATGAACAATCGGCTCACTGACGCCTCCGAAGTGGATTGCACGATGCTTTGAGATCGCCTAAGTCGCCACTCATTAATTAATTAGTTATTAATCACCGCATGAGGATCAATTTAATTATTATTCAAAGTGATCAATGTATGGATACCCCACTAAGAATGATATCCACGATGCATAGAGGAAACTGCGTTTGAATTATCGGCTTGCACGTCGCCTGCCTTGGTGTAGCGGCTAGAAACACTTAAGACTTTTAGTCGAGATGTCGCAGGCAGAATGCAAGCCACTAACAACGCTTCTTCTCAAATCCCTTTCGCCTCTGTTCACCCAGTGAACAGCAGCAGTCAGTGGCGTTTCGTGGTTTAAAGCGTCTGGCAAGCGTGGAGATGCAGTCTAAATAGTGCCAGAGGTGGGACAAAGTCATTGTTATGCAAGTCCAAGTCGAGTCTGAAGTCATCAAATTCATGACTCGAGTCTGACTCGAGTCCAAGTCACATGACTCGAGTCCACACCTCAGAGGTGGGACAAAGTCATTGTTATGCAAGTCCAAGTCGAGTCTGAAGTCATCAAATTCATGACTCGAGTCTGACTCGAGTCCAAGTCACATGACTCGAGTCCACACCTCTGCTAAATACCCTCTAAAGTTCAAGTTCATTTATTAGGTATAGCCCTGTGAGCCATTCGGCTCTTGAATCGGGTGCAACCGCAACAAACAAAAAACAAAAACATGAACAAAAAACATCTTAAAGTGAATATGTGACTAAGTGCAAACAGAAATCCAAGAAAAGACAGCAAAACATTGCAGAAAAAGCACCGTACACCAACGCTGTGTGCAAAAATCCCAGTGGGAGGCAAGTCAAGCAACAACAACAACATCCACAAGACAACTTAGATTAAGGCCATCAGTCTAACTCTGTACTACAACAAACAAACATGGCTAAACCAATACACTTTTCGAAATCACCAAAATAAAGCCATGAAAGCAATGAAAAAGCAATCATAGGAACTGATGTACTATAGAGGGCATCTCTACAGCTCCCTCTAGTGGAGGCTCTTCCGCCAGTTATAGCGTCCTTTACCAGTCTCAGTGCACATATATAAATCACGCAACGCTCTCCTCTGTAATATATGGAGCCACATTTTTAAATCATTTATTTTAAGTTCGCTTGCTTGTGTGCTTGCTTGCTTGCTTACGACCGTGCAAATCTTTCGGTCGTTTTTAACCCACTTCCCGTGATCCAATCGAGCTGATATTTTCCACACAGACTCGTTGTGCGTGACAATTACTTTTCGTGAAAAAAAATTCCAAAATTTTACACTGTTTAGGGAAAAAAATGTTTTATTACCAATTGCTTAATGGTGGCAGACAATCATTTGACCCATAGGTGGCAGCCATCTCAAGCCAGAGGACGAGAGGACTCTAGCCGCCACGCATATAAAGGATTTATAGTGAAAAACTTTGTTTTACGGGTTAATTTTTTCACAGTACCGTAGTCAATCCGCTGCTGGGGAAGACGGTCAGGAGAAATAAGTGGGGCATCAAGACTCGTGCCACTTAGAGGTCTGCTCAGTGGCAGAGAAGGTTGCGGGTTCAAATCCTGGTTGGGATGGATTGGCTCAACCCATCATCCTTCCGGGGTCGATACAATTAGTACCACTTTGTGTGGAAATCAACAGTGATTGTCCTATGGATGGACTCGCTCCTTTCATCGGAACGTGGAATGTCCATCACTTGCTCGGGGCTCTAAACAGGAGGTGAGCCTATGCATAGACTCGCCCCAGCCATAGGAACGTGGAATGTGTATCACTTGCTCGGGGCTCTCAACAGGAGGTGAGCCTATACATAGACTCGCCCCAGCCATAGGAACGTGGAATGTGCATCACTTGCTCGGGGCTTTCAACAGGTGAGCCGATGCATAGACTCGCCCCAAGCCATAGGAATGTGGAATTTCCACCACAGGCTCTGGTGGAGGGGGGCAGGGGTGTAAACAGGTGCGAGCAGCAACAATGCCTCGTTTAGAAACCACGTTGATTGTCAATTGCTGATTGCCAATCAACCTGCCAGTGCAGCCGGTCGCGTAAAGTTCATTCAAAGGCGTTGCTACCCATAAAGTTATCCTGCAGCGGCGGGTATAAATATCGCGAGACTTGGACAGCGTCTCGCGAGACTTGGGGCCCGTTTTTACCAGTTATTTATTATTTTATTTCTTGCTTTGTTTACAGTGGGACTCAACAGCGTCGGAGGTGACGGGAAAGCCACCAAGGAATGAACCCCCAGCGGAGGTGAGTCTCTGCCAGTCTGTCTACACCGTCTCCCTTCTACGGGCTCTTTTAAATCGCCGTGGTAAAGCGGGGAGAGCGGGTATCCCGGGACCCCGGCGAGAGACGCCTCTCGCCTAGATCCGGTACCGGCTTTCCTTCGAGGTCCCCGGCAGCTCCGCCAGCCCGTGGCGCTTAGGCCTCTCGGGGTCCGTGCACCTCGCTTTTCTTGCTCCTTCTCGCCTCGTTTGTCGTTTACGTTCCAGCTGTTGTAGTTTAAACTCGTGGTGCATATCGAGGCGAGTTGTAAGCCGTCGCCTTGTTTGCAGGGATTGATGTCTGGAAGCGAGTGTAACAGTTGGCGTCTACTTCTGTTTGCTGTGCTTCGGTCGGGGTGGACTGGCTCCCGCCGTGAGAATGTGGAATTGGCAACGCCGACTCGGGGACTCCGGCTAAACCGAGCGACGTCCCATTGGGCGTTAAAGCAGGGATACTCTTTTGTACTCTGCCAATCACCAAAGTACACAGCAACTTATGAGAAATAACCGCTGTTTTATTTACTTAGACAAGAAATTAATAGTTGTCCTGAAGTTCGTAATTCACTAAATGACTTGGCTAACGAAAGTGAAACGGGTGTAGGTGTAAAGTGCCTCAATCTGAAACTACTGCACTGTTTGAGTCGACGTTCCACTTTTGCGCGTTACGGTTGCCGAACTTAAAGCACGTGACCTTATTTCATTGACGAAAATGTCATTGACCTGTGTTCGTTACAAATGTGCGAGTTTGTCTGGCCATCGGTTTTCGAACCCCCTTTTTTTTTACTATGTTTAAAACTATGAGTCTTACTTTTGCATTTGCTGTTTGTGTTGCAGTGGCTGAATGGCGAGGAACCTTCAATAACTCCAAGATAATCTTTCACGCAGAACCAAGCCAATTTATTAGCGTGATCTGTACTTAAAAAAAATCCACGCACAGCTTTTATCCACTTGACAACATCTGATCCTTGAAAGAGAAGAGCCGCGGGGTGTTTTTTTTACATTCTCAGAGTAAACTGGGAATGTTGGGTTGGGAAAACAAGTCCATGTTTATTCGTAATTAAAGATTATCACCGGTTTCAGCCGGCTGCTTGCAGCAATTTGTTGGTCGAGTGCACTGGGGGTGACGTCGGACCGTCTTTCAAAAGCGAACCACAGGTCTTGAAGCCGCGACGAATGGGTAACGAACAATAACGAATCTGCTCTGCATTTAAACCAACAATTGCTTTGTTGAAACCGAAAATATTGAGCATCGGAAACTCGGCATCGGCTCTGCAAAGGAGATCATTAGACAAAAAGTAAAAACTCTCTTTGGAAAAATAGACCTTTAGCAAGCTGCTGAACATCATAATTTCAACAACATTGAGGGCTTCTCCGTTAAAGTAAAGTTTAAGTTTGTTTTAAAGATCTAGAACCTAAAGGTTTGGTTTTGGGGGGGGGGGGGGGTGTAACGAGACAGACTTTAAGCGCGCATCAGACATCATGGCCTTCCTGGACAACCCGGCGATCCTCCTGGCTCACATCCGCCAGGCGCACATAACGAGCGACGACACGGGCATGTGCGAGATGGTGCTCATCGACCACGACGTGGAGGGTGGCTGCATCTCGAGTGGCCAGTACGGCCCGGGCGGCTTGAGCCGCAGCTGCCCGCCGTTTGGCCCCGACAGCCGGCGCCTTTCGCCGGCATCTCCGGCGTCGCCAGGGTCACCCGCCTCGGTGTGCTCCTTCGCGTCGCTCATCTCGTCCGGCGGTCGCAGCGAGTGCGAGGCTCCGGTGCTGGAGCACTCGCAGTCGGTGGACATCACCTCCGGGTGGGATTTTGGCATCCGCCCTCGCTCCAACACCGGTGAGATGATGCGTCCTGATGTGGAGCTGCTGTGAGCAGCAGCAGATTGTTGTGCGTGACTTGTTGTCGTAGTGGCGAGGGGATACAATCGTCCAATGCTGGCGTGGTTCTTAATGCACTACTGTTTATGGTGCCAATATTTTGCTGTAATATTCGGAGTCAAATAAAGGACACCAGCTCGCCAAACGCCAATAAGTGGGTGTGGCTGACGGTGCTGGGATGCTATTGCCGCTACTGCACAAGTCCCATTGTGTTAATGGTGCACAACCTTAATCTTTGATAAAGTGAAGGCAACAGTTGTCATTCTTCCATCAGTAAATGGCTGTGGTTGATGAAACTGCATCCTCAACAGAAGATTGCTGGTGAAGGGGAAGGCTCATGCTTGGATTTTTATACAAGCACTGCCGTTTCGTTGAAATTCTATTAATGAAATTCTGCTATAGTTAATTCTAAGCAGACCTTTCTAAACATTGAGTCTGGACATTTATTGAGTACTTTATATTATTACCAGTGAGCAGAAGTTTCTGCACGTATAGATGGTATTTAAAATGTGTTATGCAGTTTAGTATTGATGGTAACACAAGTCCTCTTATGAAGTAGGATTCTATAGCTATTGCATTTTAGTTTTGTAAAATTTGAAAGATTGTTTGTTATTGGATCTCCATTTGATTGTCAAATGTAAATGTTGAAATTGTTAAACTGAAATGCTTAAACATGGTATCCTTTTTTGTAATTGTTTTACTTTTAGGGACATTAGTTCTGTAAAGTGTTATCAGCATTAGGTTACTTATGCACATCACAGCAATAAAAGCTCCAATTAGTGACAAAGATACTGTTAATTAAGGTCTGCTTCTGCAATTTAAAAGACGGCTCTACAAATAATCGAATATCTGAATTCCTCGTTTTTCCAACATGCGAACATTTGCTGATAATGAGTTTAAGCATTTAACCAATCTTGTTTGGAAGCTTTCGTGACTGCAGGAATCCATACTCTTTGGTTCTTTCGGTAAAGTCACGTAGGTAGAATTTTTTAAAACCATTGCTTAACCCCCACGGGCAAGGGATGGCACCGTCCGTGTGTGCCCTTTTTCTCTCCCTTTCTACCCCCCCCCCCCTTACCCTCGCCCACAGTTCTTCTTTGCTACCCACCCTACCACCGACTCCCTGCATTTTCATCTTGCCTTAATTCCTGAGGGTGGGGGGGGGGTGGTGTCTGAAATGTTTTTGTTCGCAGGGCTGTACCCCGATAGGGGGGGGGGGGGGGTTAACAATCCATTAACGCTGGCTGTGGTTGGAATGGTCTAGCAGTGGCAGAGGTAAAGGTTTTTGTGTGTGGATCTGGATCAAGCAGCTGGTTTGGTTGATTGCTGTTTGGACCGCAATGTGGAGGGATAAGGAGGTTGGGAAACATGTTTAATGATTTAAACAGTTTTGAAAGAGATTAATGGTGCAAACTTGTAAATGTGAGGGGAAAATACATTTCAATTGTTGATTAAGTAATCAAGAATGGTGGTGAAAAATATAACTTTGCAATGAACAGATGGTAAGCATTGTTGATAGGTTACCCCATTTGCATTTGAATTGATGTTGGTAAAAGTAAAAGATTGCTTGCAGAGTGGTACAAATGACCGGATTTAAGGACTGTTGGTCCATCTGATCTCTTGGGCATTTGTAGAATACCTTTTGGACCCCTAATGGCCTCAAATGTTGAAACCAAGATCTTTTAGAAACACTGCAATTCATGCTTGGTTGAATCAAAAGAAATAGGTAACGCTGGTGGGAATTCACTTTTACAACTGACCTAAATAATTTGATCACATTTTATCCAAGCCTTTGGGCGTTAACTCGGCCCATGATTTCTATGGGCCAGATACAATGAATACAAATTCGTGAAAAGTCAAACGGTATGTGTCCTTGCCATTTGGGGAATGGACTTTTTCATCAACCAATGGACACTGCGCAAAGCCTGTTTGTTCAGACGGTGTGTTTTTCATACTCCTTGGATGATACACAAAATAATTACTTCTGTAATTGTAATGAACAGATTTATAGTTTAACTGCAGTTTAAAATAACTGATTTGTATATGGTGAAAGTTTCCCAATGTTGAAATGTGATCCACAAGTGTTTTTTTTTAAGCCTGTGGTAGAATAATTCCATAGCAGCGTTTCCCTGTGGTCCAAAGGGGAAAGGTTACAAGATTGGCACTTGGCTGCGTACGGTGCGAAAGAAGTTCAATATATGGCCATTGAAGCCATAATTACATATTTACATTCTTTTGCTTTCATATGACGCTTGAAAAAGCAGCAGACTACAACTGTAGTATTTTTTTAAAATTTGCAAGCCATTCAATGGCATCATGGGTAGTTGAGGGTGGGGTGTGCTTGTTCCAACATAGTGTGGTGCACTGGGCAGTCATTGGTGGGTATGCCTTGTGGTTTACTCCTCGGTATGCACGGGTGGACGAGTCATTGATAGAGGAAATAGCCACACCTTCCATGTGTTTTTGGGACACTGTTGAAAGGTTCCTCACTGTCGGGGCAGAGAAACCAGGCTGTTACTTGGAGTCTTCACCAAGGTCGTTGTTTGGGACTATCGTTGGCTCTCTTCTTGTGCCATTTTTGGGTGGTCGGGTCCTTTTTCGGCTGGCAAAAATATATCTGCATTGAGCTTTGGCAGTGCTCGGGCATGGATTGTGTGGTTTTTTTACATTCACCTCAAATACTTAAAGGGTTAATTTTCTAATCTCATTTGTGAGTATTTCATTAACACTGCATTGGTCACAGCTGAATGTGTAAAAACAGCTAATTATTTATCATTGTCATGTCCTCAAAGTGCATGAACAAAGTAAACAAGCAACGTCTCATTTTGTATATCCCTCCATCTTAAAGTACTTCTTACACAACCATCAGCCGAGTGGCCTTCTGGGAGTGCATAATTTCAGCAGCATTGTTTTAAGACCAATTTTGATAAGGGTTCCCATCAGCAGTCAAACTTGCTTGAATCCGTGTTTGACTGCTGATCTTACAGGCAAGGACCCCTCTCTTTACAATATCAGCTCTTGAGCTCGACTCAAAAAGTAGACCAGCAATTATTGTATGCGAAATAACTTTGTGTGGTGATGACAACTTTGAGTATTGCTATCAAGCCATGACAACACATTGCCTTACATCTTTTTGAGGCATGAGCGAGTCGTCTTGGCCCTCCAGGCAACACGTTTTCGGGCTGCTATTTCAAATCTGTATGGCACCTGTAAGTAGGTTTTGCTGCATTGGTATCTGTGCATACATGTGGCGATTTCATATTTATTACCACCCCTGGCCCCCCAGGGTCTTTATTTCAATAATCGATTTTTTTGCGATCATACCTTTTTGGCATTGGTTTTCATTTTAGTGTTTGTACAGTAGTGTACATGCCATAAGCCGAAAATTTACATTTGACCATCGGAATATCATTAGCTAAATTTGTAAAAGTTTCTTACGTGATATGGTGCATGCATTGAGTATTTTAATTGGTCATGTTATCTAAAATGTCGTGAGTACACTGGTTGGCACAATGCACATGCAGAGCACGAGTACCCAGAGTTGGAGGAATCCAATCTCTTGGCCATTTGTTGAATTGTGAATTCAGTTCCTGAATAAGCTCCCAGCACATGGACTGAAACGTCAGACCATCATACTAAGTAACACGTGGTACAACCCAAATATACATCGGTGCCCTTTTTATAATATATTGGGCTTCAGCAATTATGGTTGCCTAATGTAGAATGAGGGTGGCGATGTCTGTATTGTAACGTCATCTGTTTGCTTGCTGAACTATTTACGGTCACATACACACAGGGTCACTGACCCTGTGAGGAGTAAGGAGCGGCTAATAATACAATCGATAAGGAGGTAAATGTTATATATTTCAAAAACTGTAAATCGGCAAGTCGGATAGTCCGACACTTAATCGAGTGTTAACTGCTTGCCTACAGCCCCCTTGGCCTAATGCAACTCCAACGTTTTGGAACAACCTTAGTTCCTCCCTTAACATCCTACGTCTTCCTTAAAAAAATATCCAGAAGCAAAAAATTAGTTGTGGATACAGCTGCATTTGCAAATGTAATTTTGTAACTTTGAACCATTCCCATGTATCGATGGTTAAACTGGGACTTTTTGCCTCTTTACTGCCTTTCCAACCTTGAATTGATGTAGTTATGCAATTTTACGTGCATTATTTATTTAAGGGCTTGTATACTTTATTTTATGTATTTATTTCTAGCACTTTGCTTACCTTTTCGTATACTTTGCACTCCTATAGTTTTGTGTAAATGTTTAACTTTCTGACCCACTTCTACTGGATATCTGAAAAAGAGCTTCATAGCTCATCGGATTTCTTCCAGGGTAAATACATGTTGTGATCTGTGATGGGAACAACCATAGTTTCGTGAGCATTTGTCAATGCCATTTTTAATCCTCCTTGAAGATTTCATTTGAGGTGACTTTCATCAGTTTTCTGCGTGGAGTTATTTGTTCAGTTCTGAATATGCCAGGTAAAATCATGCATTTTGAAGAGACTCCTGAAGTGGTCCACAAACGAGTTCATAACCCATTTGCCATACTGCCATCCCCTCGCCACATGGCCTCTCCTGAAAACGTTATCTTACAAATCTGACGGACCCCTGCCCCTCAACCTCCCAAAGAGCTGGATTTACGCGCGCGTTCACCGCCGCGCGGCCCGGCTTTTAACGATGGCTGCTTGTGTGGTGCTCTACAGCGCAGAGGCTTGAGCGGTTAAGGAAAGAGCGCCAGAACCAAGTGAAGTGCAAAAACATCCCATGGAAGGATCGGGGCACTCGGCAGTCTTGTAAGTATGCACACATTCACAAAACGCTGTTGTCGTTTGTGCTGCGGGATTAACGCGGGTCTGAAATGTCCAACTTTTTCCCCAAAGTATTTGCAGGCGTAAATGCTTTGTCGACAACTCCATCCACAATTGTACGTAAAGTTATTTTGCCACCTTGTGTTTGTGAACAATTAGTGCTCACAGCACGTGGTACTGGCAACTCTTGCTGGTATTGATGGGCAACAAATGGGTATTTGATGCATGCTAGGTGTAGAAACAACGTGTCTAAAAAGCTATGCGATCGTTATTAAAGCACAAAGTAATCATTTCAAAGAGGTGTCCTTTTTAAAGTTCTTGTGTAGTTGCATAAAAATGTTTTTAAGGTACCACTGGCAAGTAATTTATTTTTTTGTCTAAGGAGAGAATGGAGCGGAGCACTGCCACCATACTTTGTTAGCTCTTTTCAACAATTTGACTTTGGTAACAAACTGAAGATTATAATTCATTATTAAATGGTTTGTGTCCATTTTTGCAAGTGTGGTCAGTGACACTGGATGTATTGGCATATTTTTTTAAAGACCATTCGTTGATCAAATTCTCTACTGGTGAGGAAAAATCGTGACCGCAAATGCAGACTTGGAGATGTATTCTCAATAAAGGATTGACATTGCTTTCAGACGCGTAGAGTTTGCCACAGCAAGCCAATGAATATAAGGAGCTGAAATGTCTCGGTGTTGTAATTTGTACACTACCACAATCCCAGCAACATTTTTGCACCGCCAATTAGCACGATTGGCTATGTACGGTGCAAAACAAGTTCAACATGCATACAACAAAACACGGGTTTTACTTCCTGGTTCATCACATCCACACGCTGCCCGAATCTTTCTGAGCTTTCCGCTTGGTTTACTTGGTCAATAATGTGGAGCTAGTGTGAATGTGTAATAATTTGGGCTACCCCACGTGCCATGCCAATTTTAATTGCTCAATAACATAACGGTAATTTGGCTAACAAATAAGGTTAAACTGGGGGGTGTGTTTGTGTGCGATTGCGTCGAGGTTGGCACTGCTATGAAGGCGGCTGCCAAAGTTCAATTCCCGGCCACGTAAAAATCTGTGGCATACGATATAATATTATAACTGGTTGTCCTCCCCTGTGTCCATCTTGGCCTTAATTGAGTACCTGGTGTGCTGTGTAAACATTAGCAAATGGGGGAGATAAAGGTGATCTGGGCGTGGTGCTGGCAACACTTCCCCTTGTGCGCATTCCTGGTATTAATGTGCTCGTGAACAGCCGTTTGGTAGTCTGTAGGGAAATACAGGGGATTTTTTTTTTACTTTATGTGCACATGCCCTGTTTGCGCACTTGTGCATGTGTGGGGAGCACCAGTGCAGTGGTTGGCGCGCTAAGAACCAAGCGACTAGAGTTCGATTCCCACTCACGGCCAACACTAGTGATTATCTGAACCTGGTCCTGGGCCTCTCCTAGGACGAATCTGCCTCCATTGGTGCGGTGTGTAAACATCCCCACGAGGGAGACGAAGGCGGCCGGGTGTGGTGCTGGCCACCCTCCCCCTTGTGTGCATGTGCCAGCCTTCATAGGTGTTTGCTAACAGCACTTGTTCCAACAGTCTAAGGCTATGCTGGGGGGGGGGGATCGTTTGTCTTTGTGCTCTCTTGCAGCGGAGGAGCAGGCGCTGCTCTTTGACAAGAAAGATTTCCGGACGAAGCGAGCGGAGGCGGCGGCCACCGGCGCGGCCACCTCACTCCTGTCCATGCGTCTGGAGAAGTGTCCCCATCAACTCAACAACCCCTTCAACGAGTTCTCAAAATTTGACGGGAAGGTGAGCCCTCGTGCCGACGACTTGGGGTCCCCCTCGGGGCCCCACTTTGAGCCCCCCTCGGGGTCCCCCTCGGGGCCCCACTTTGAGCCCCCCTCGGGGTCCCCCTCGGGGCCCCACTTTGAGCCCCCCTCAGGGTCCCCCTCGGGGCCCCACTTTGAGCCCCCCTCGGGGTCCCCCTCGGGGCCCCACTTTGAGCTCCCCTCGGGGTCCCCCTCGGGGCCCCACTTCGAGCCCCCCAGTGTCTCCTCCGGGTGTAAATACGAACCTGACGATGGCACTTGGGAGTTTCCTTTTGACATTTAAAAGGGGATGACTTACTTGAAGTTGCAAAGATTGTCATGCTCGGCCTTTGGTTTCTTGTTATGGTATTTTTATGCCACCATTTTTAAGCTGAGGGCAATCGCGTATTTTGACAATTTATTGTCCTTTTCTAGTACAGTGACGTTTTTGTGATTAAATACGAGCAGTGTTACGGAAATGTGAGCAGGGCTAAAATAGCGTAACGCATCAATTTGGTATCGTGTGGTAAACTTCACTTTGTTTAAACGTCTGCCAGGTTTATAAGGGTTTCCGTGGCCTTATTGCATCGTCTCTGGCTTTGTTTTCGCTAATATCACGAGGTGCAATCTCGCAACACTTTCAGTTTTAAGTGCAATGCGTTTTTTACTGTCACATTGTTTATTGTCCTCCGCTCGTTTTTTTTCCCCACCCTGGGTCCGGACATTTGTTTTTAACTACCTCCCCAGTGTTAAAATTACTACCTCCCTGTCCAACGCTGCTTACATAATCGCACAATTTTTATTTACAGCTATCTTCTTCCTCAATATGTTCACATGGTGAATTGTGACGGTCGGCAACCATCGCCAGCTCTGCGTCTTTTTTTAAATGTCTGTCGGGGTGGGGGGGGGGGTGCGTCTCCTTTCTCCAAGAGGGGAGGGACGGTTAGTGATGAAGAGTTGAGCGATGTCACAGTCCTTGCGGCATCCTCTGCTGCTGATGCTGTTTTAGAATTTTACAAGTGCCTCCGCTCTCCCATGCTGAATCTACGTGGAGAGCCAACGTGCAGTGGATTCCAGTGCAGCTGTAACCAACTCTTGAACTTTTGCACCCTGATGACATGAATGTTTTTCTCCTGTGATGGGTTTTTTGTTGGTGGGGGGTTATTTTGTGGACTTTTATCAAATAAAGTGGCTTTTTACAATATAACCAGTGCAGAAGTCTCCAAAGGTAATACGCTGTTGAGAGCTGGAGTAGCGATCAGATTTATTGTCTAGCATGCCGGTCATTGTCATACAAAAAACAACTCTGACCTGTGGCACTTCGAATAGAGAATGCTCGACTCAATCCGAATATTGTTTTCAAATACAGTTTGGGGTCAACTTGGGACATCAACCTCAAGAGACTATAAGACGACTACTGCCTCTTCGTGGGAAGTCGATGGTGTTTGGTATGGTGCAGCGATTGTTTTCTTGTATATGTAATATACAGCCCCTTTTCATCAAGCTCACTGTCTGGGTGAGAGCCTCCCCACTTGTGCCAGTCACGTTCTTTGACCCTACTCAACCGCTCTGGCTAGTGTGGGCAACTGAAGGTGGGTAGTGTTGCTGTGGCAACGATGGATTTTGCTGCACTGCAGTCTGCTGAAAACGTGGCCTTGCAGCAGCCTGCATCGTTTGTTTTCTGCATCGCCATGTCTCATCCAAACACCTCTTCCAGGTTCCAACCCTGCTTTGCTTTTAAGATCTGCAGAGATCGTTTGATTTCGGTCATGGGCAATTCATGCTCAGTTGCCAGTGAAGATGAACACCATCTTATGCGGTCTCTGGCAGTGAGTGACAGCTGGAACCCATCTTGTTTTCTGGGAGGGGGGGGGGGCAAACCACTATCAGGTCATGTGTTTAAATCGGCACGTTTTTTAAATAATTGTCTGATTCAGGGGGGTTTCCAAACAAATGAATGACGTGCGGTGCCTTAGCCTGGTGTGCATTTCAAATTAAAATATTCCCCCCACCTGACAACGGCGGTAGCCTTTTAGTCTCTTCCTTCCAAGGGGGGGGGAGGGTGGGAGCCTGGAGTGGAGTTCACAACTGCTTCTGCACGCGAGTTAGCCGATGGCCCCTGCCTTACATTGGTGCTTAGCACTTTGAATGCTCAGAGCACATGGGGAACGAGGACCGATGTCCATTCTAAATGGACGAGCATCGAAGCGCCCTGCACCGCTAGGATATTGCATTGTTTTAAAATGGCCATTTTGACTTTCCAAGTCCAAATACGTTTAGGATGAATTGTCTTTTTTGGAGTTTGAGTTGGTGTACGTGCTTAAATGAGCATCGGGGGGTGTCTGTCAGTCTCCGCTGGTGGCTTTGAGCCAGCAATGGAAATTGCATGGGGCCAATCTGTATTGGAAGATCGGACTTCTTCCAAAAGCGGAACGATGTGTTTTTTATACATTTGTGGAGGGACGATGGAGCCGGGCCCAAACCTACCTTCTGGACTTCAACCGTTTTTGATGTGGGACTCGAGAGGTCTCAGCACAGGCTTGCTGGATAAAAGCTTAAAGTATGCATGTACGTGCTTTTAAATGATGGTCTTGGTCATCCATGGTGGAGAAAAAGGTAGGTACCGATTTGACTTGAAATGAGTCGATGCTTTACTGGGCATTGCCTTTCCACGTGTAAATTTGTATCAACAACCCTGGTGCGGTTCCCATTTAAGGGTTTTGATGTTGCTGGGTGGCTTCGTTGGGGGGTGGGAGGGACTTTGATACGGGGTGTAACGATGCATCCATTCAATATTTGATTCTTAAGCTCCCGGCATACACATTGAAGTGTCTTTTTTTTTACGGACATTTGTTTTTAATTGTTTATGTAATGTATACAAATTTGTGCGTGACTTTTGTTAAATATATTTGAAGATGTGTTGGGACGGGTGTGGTTCTGTCCACCCACCCCTTTCATAAGTGCTCTCTCACAGCACTTTCCCCAACAGTCGAAGACTATATGGGGTATCTCTCTTGGTCTGTTAGTAGGGAGTGGTAGTTGGCATGAACCCGGCGACCCGAGTTGGTTTCCCACTCACGGCCAACACCAGTGACGATTATCTGAACATCCAGCAGTGGACAAGATCATGGTTTAGGAAGATGAAGAATTTGTTCACGTGAGCCCTGCACTACATGCTGCTACAAACTCGGCATTGTTAAATCTATTTAATAGAATTGCAATGGTTGAAATGAATCTCTCTGGGGAGCCAGGGGGGTGCGGAATGGCTCTAATCATGAGGCCAATAACAAATGTCAACACTTGCACTGGCAATGGTGAGAGCCTGGATTTAAGTCTCGGTAACCACCAGCGATTGTAGACCTGTTCTCAACTGTGGTGAATGGATAGGCCCAGCCTGGTCGCCCCCGCCTTTGTATTGATTTATGTTTTTCATTTAATATCACATGCCATTTGAAAAAATAGACTTAATATGATGCTCCTTGCCAGGCATACAAAAGGTACACTTGTACTGTGGACCAGAGGCTTATCAATAACTAGTTCTGATACGGCTCCCATGAGGCCCATTCTTTTGATCTAGGGCGTTGCACTGCCTTGGTGCACATTCCAAATGTAAATGCCATCTCTTATGACACTGCGAGGAGCACAATTGGACTACAATTGCGAGTAAACCTAAGATGTCGTTTTTTTTAATTGCTTCTATTAATATATTATAATTATTTCCTCGCTGAGGCAAGGTTGCATATTAAAAGATGGGTTTGACCGTAATAATTTTCGCCCCTTTTTGTCCCCGAGGGGTCTTATTTCATTAGGGTACATTACAAATTATCTGCGCGCAACGGAGGTGCACGCCGCATTGCCATCGTTAAAATTTGTTTCAGGTAGGAGGGAATTACAGGTGAAAAGGTTAACGTTTTTAATTCATCATTTGCTGCTTTGTATTCTGAGCGCCGGAACCAAGAGGAATCTTAAAAAAACACAGTATTTTCGGCATAAAGTTGCTTTGTGGTTTTTCCCCAAATTGTATCTATCGGCAATTTTCCAATTAGCAGTATTGTTACAACGACTTTGTAACAATACGTGTAGAAAATTCAAGAACGTCATAATTCCATGCACTAAAATAACAATTGGAGTTTTGCAGTAGGATGTCGAATGGCTAACGTCGCGGATCTTAACCAGCCAACACTTGGTGCGGTGTTTGCGCGAGGTGTAACGAGATTTCTATGGACGTTCACAAATCTGACCTTTTTCAAGAACGGCTGTGTGTTCTTAATCTCGTGTACGTTCGCGCTGTGAATCAAGAGCAGCACCGTGCAGCATTTCACTGCGTTTTCAGGGGGCTTGCACTTTAATTTTGTCCAGCCTCTTTTATGTACGGTGTAACTATACATTTTTAAAATTTATTTTGCATATCCGGACTTATCGCACCTCCGGCAAGTCAAATTTGCGACTACAGTAATCTATGTTTTAAAATCATTCACTGCTCGAATGACATGATAATGGTGCTCCTTTTCACGCAAGTTACCCAGTAGCTTGTGGTAAATTCCACATTGACCTGGGGTGGGTCGGGGGGTGTTAGTGCTGTAGGCTTGCCACAGTAGTACTTATTTTATTGACTGGAGGATGATAATTGGTTGATCAATCCATTGATACAATTTTGATTTCTCGAGCATCTAAATGTAACTTTGTTTGCAGACTAAAGAGAAACGGCATGCACGCGATGTGTGATGCGATAGGCATATCGAGCAGCATATGACCACTCAAGTATACCAAACTTGCAAAGGAATTTAAATCCTTTTTTAAAATAAAACTCGTTTTCAGTTCGATTGATTAATCTTTTTTGGAGTGGTTTTAAATTAAATTGACTTTCATTTGTAACCTCGTGTCCTTGATCACGACTTGCTCTGCCATGGCACCACCTGAACAGATACCATTTTGACACTGCAAAGGAATAGTTTTTTTTATGAAGAATAAACGTTTTTACCATTACAAACCTTTCCCCCC